TCAATTCTGCGAGTGCTATGAATTTATATTATTTATAAATATTGAACTAAATCAATAAATTTTTTATCGATGGAAAAGAATTTCAAGACTGCGCGAGAGGATTGGGTGGCAATCGAAATAAAATCAACTCTCCATCAATCGTGGAAATCGAGCTCGATCCGTGTAATTCAATCGTCAATGAGAAAATCGCGAACACGGATAAACTCGATAGTATTGAATGTCAATTAGCAGGAGGCTTAACTCACCCAATCCGCCTTTCATGGAGCCCCTCCTCCTGGGACTAGATAAGACAGTAACTTCAGTTCCAACCTCATCCCCTACGGCAGCATCGAACTCGGTGAGATCACTAGTAGATTTTCTCGCAAAATTTTTCCCGGTTGACCTCATCAAGGGCTTCTCACCGACCTCATTCAAACACCCATAACTCTTGTTCAATTGTAAACTGCCGAGTCGTTGTCTCATCCCCTTAGGACTCTCCGTATCCCTGTTGGATGCCTTTGATAATTTATCACGAGTCTCCTGATTCGAGCAAGTCTCGAATGACCCATTATCAACTGCCCTAGGACTCGGACTCCGTGAAGACGACGTGACAATAGTCGTCGGTGACATATTAGTTCCGAGACTCAAGCACGAATTCCTTCTCCCCGTCTCCAACGATTTAGCTGTCTTCTGACGGAAACCCTGAGGTGATCCACAACTCGTTGATTTATTCCTCGATGACGAGTTGATTTTTGGTGGCGTTGACACCGGACTCTTCGTTGGACAACTCAGAGTTTTTCCAAAATTTTTCCTCGGGCTGCAGAACTGGAAAACTGGTGATTTGGATTCAGCACCTCGAGGGCTCTTCGCCGCTGGTGAATGTTGACTGTAAATAGGAGAATTCCTGAAGCTGTTGGAGACACTCGTGCCACCAGGAAAACTCTCCGCCAGTAAATTACTTCTCGATCCAGATATTGATTCAATTTTACCAAAATCTTCAAAATCAAAATTAGCATTGGGTGTTTCTGGGCAATACTCAGGGGGAAATTCAAAAACCCTGGGAGTTCCTGGTGATTTGCAGGTGAAATTGTGAGGTGTTATGGAGGGACTTCTCTGACCTGTCATGGAGGTGACCTGGGGCAACTGGGGAAGTTGACGTGGACTCCTCGGGGATTTTAGGCTGTTGTACGGCCCCGGACTGTTCATCGCCATTTTCTTCCTCAATTTTTATCCCCTCGATGTTATTGCTCGCTCAAAATATCCGATTCTCGTTAGAAAACCATTTTCAACGGATTAATCTAGCGCACGATGTTATCAGCCCTGTCAATCTCCGTGTAATCACGCTGGAATCATTAAATCCGCTGTCCCATCAAATTCACTTCATCACACCGTCTCTCTTCAATTTTGTTATGCACCATGCACATACCACTGGCTACATTGTTTACCGCAGTTCAATCGATATTCCCACGGCACAAAATAACATACAATAAACAATGGATATATTTTTAAAAGATTTACAGGATTCACGGCTCTCCTCCTAGCGCAACAGCTGCCGAGTCTGCAATTATTACAAATTATAGTAATTTCGTTTAGGCTTACTATATTATGAATTATTCTGGGTTAGAACTGACTATTTATTTATTAACTAACTCAGGGAATACAAAAGATAAACTTCTCTTAATGTGGAAAAATCGAATCAAATCGAGAATCAATCAGATGAATTAATCACCAGAACATTTTGATAATATAATCACTACTCGAATATTATCGTCAACGAATCGTCTCGGTATCCACCTCAATCCGATTGATTAATTTAATTATATCAATTTATTTATTAGTCATTGACTAATTGTTAAATGAGATAAAATAAAAGATAAAAAATAAAAGCAGAAATTTATTTCGAGAAACACCTGCCCCCCTGGGTATAATTTATTAATTAATCCTGGTAAATTGATATTTCTTTAATTAGTGGAATAAAATAAATCTTCGGACCACAATTGTAAACAAAATTTCATGAAAATTACTCCGCAATAATGGAGTTCGAGGGCTAATGTAATTAAACCACGCAGGGAACAGTTGTTCAATAGTAATTAGAATACCCGTACAAAGTTCCTGACGAGGTGCATTAATTACAGTCAGAAATTCACAGCTATCCATTTCGCAACCCGCGAGAAACGTGAATATTTGAATAATGCAGTTAGACAGGTTGATGGTGAGTCCGAGTAAATCAATCAAAATAATTCTACATGTAATCCGGGATTAACTGAACTATCAACACTGGGAACATCTTCACCTGAGGCTAGATCAATTCACAAACAGGTACGCGATATAAATCGCCATTACCTCCCCTCGTGGTACGTGTGACCTGTTGATCGTCAAGTCACTGAGTACAATAAATCAGTAAACTGTCATGAATCCTTTCCGATCAATCGATTAATAGCTCATTTATTATTTCTGTGGAATGGAGAGGATTTAGAGAAATTGTCGATGGATACTGGAGAGACTGGAAGCGCGATGTTGCTTGTTCGAATGTCGGCACGTTACTGAGACCAACTGAGACACCAGAAACCACCCTGCACCCTCTTTCAGCCCTCCCATCCGATCCCAGGACCTCATCCCCTGGCGCAACAGAATACCTCTCCTATATCTATCTAAACATTTGATTACAGACCACGGGATACCCAAATAAACCACGTCTACTCTCTGAAAATAATTGTTTCCACAAAAACATTTCATTTGCGCAAGTGGATTTTCAGCGTTGCCAAGGAAATTCAATTATTTCGTATATTCGTATATCATTCCACATTATTTCAATTTTTTTTTATGTACTAGCGTATACGGCGCGCTATGCGCGCCCAAGGTTACATGTATGGGGTATTATCATATAAAATCTTCATATAAAATCTGAATATTAAAAGAATCTTAAGTATCTAAAAAAATTAGTCATAATAAACAATTATATATAAATTTTAAATTAATATGTATATGTAATATATATATATTTAATATAATAATTTATTATTATATATGTATATAATATATATTATATATATTATAATTATTTATATGAATATATTAATATGATATGTATAGCTTAGCTGTGCGCCAAAAAAAGCTGACAAAAAACGTTACATGCTTTTTTTTTAAAGGGATTGTTTTTTTATTTGAATATAAATTGAGTATGCGGTAGAGAGTCACCTTCAGATATTCTAAAAATAGGGGAAAGAGAGAACCTAATTGTTTTTCAAAAGTTATGCAACATACAATATTGGAGGTGACTGGGTGTAAGCGATTGTTTATAAAGTCATAGATCAATAAATATTCGGTGTAACCGAAAAATAATTGAATGCTTTTTTATTGCAAAAGAAAGATTAAAACTTTTTTTAATAAATATATACAATAAATGTTGTAATAAAAGGGTGCTTGTAGGTTTTTAAAAATTTTGATAAAACATATTCGTAATATATTTGACATCATCTTTATCAATTATGATTGTCTATTCCCTCGACTAAAAATTTAGAATTAAAAATTCATTAGGAATATCGGAATTTCTCAGAATTGTAATTAATCATTTAATTTATTTATAGGGGAGAACCGGCGAAATGAGACACTTACCGAAAAGCGTTTTCATCTCACTCCCATTTATTTTTTTTCCCCCAAAAAATGTTGAAGAAACTGTAAAAATGTTTTTTGCGAATTCAATATTTCTTTTAATTATCCTATTGTTTTCTTCCATTTTTTTTTTTCGTCATTCTCAAAAAACGCCATTTTGAACCCAAAATCATTTTTGAAAGACTTCATATGGAAATTGACCATTTTTTAATCATAAGTGTAAAAAAAATTCTGGAAAAACTGAAATGAAGAATTAATTATAATTATTCACGATCGATTTTTCCCCTCGTCACCCATTGAATCTTTCGACTCGTCCCATTTTACCCCCATATATAATTTAATCCAGTGTGCAATTTTGGATTCCCGAATTAGGGACAAGTGATTGCATTTCGGAGTCATCACGGGAGCCCTTTTATCTCGCCATTTTATCCCATGAAGAGGATGTATATAATATAGATATATAATATTTTCGCTCTCGGATACCACTTTCGACGCATTACATAAATGGTGGGACGAGGGTGTGAATCGGACACCAGGGAACCAGTTTTACTACTTTAGTTCGGACCATCCCCAACCCAGAGCCATCTCCACAGATATTACTAAACCTTCATTAATCCCCCACCTTAAGTAATCCACAGCAAGTGTCACCTTGACCTTGAGAACAGTTTTTCTCCCACGAAAAAGCACTCGCGAAATAAAATTCCTCCATGCTATTCCCTCTCTCCTCCATTGTTTGGAGTGTCTCAAAGACATTATTTCCCTCGCATCAAATTAATTCGGTGTCTCCTTTTTCCCATTTACAAAATGCATCCACCCAGTAACGAGAGTGCACTCTATCATCCTGATAACTGCTTACTCCGCGCAATTACTCTCTCGTTAATGTCCGAATAATAAATGGAGTGGATTCTGGAAGGAATTTCAAAATTGCCCGTCATCAGATTAAATTTCAATCGATTAATCAAAATCAATTGAAGGGTAACACCAAAAATATGAGTGATGGCGTCTTCAATGTTCGTTCAATCCTCAAATTTGAGTCCTGGAATATTTAATCATCGGCATCAGATCGTCTACTCCAATCTCTTGATACATTTCCATCGCAATTTCCGGTGGAGATTTCCAGCCACATCTTCAAAACGATACAAAAAAGAATTTCCTTTTACCAGCGCTTGCGCACAAAGAATCGTCTCAGCTTCCAAACGATATCGCGTTATCGATTTATCGCGGTGGTACGCGAAAAGACCTCTCGATTATATCCCTATTTTTCATTTGACTCTTGAATAAACAGTCAAAAAAAAAAATTAATGGGGAACTTTGGAGGGGGAATCCCCGGATTGTGGGGGATTGAATAGCGCATGTTCGTCGGAAATTCAATGAAGATCTTCTACGATAATACTTGTTACTCACACGAGCCGTAATTGTAACGTAATCAAGCCAATCAGATTGCAATAATTCGGCCTCCTCCTGTAATGATTCGAATAAACGTTATCTGATTTTGAATCTCATGTTGTACTACTCTATTACAAACCCACGAAACCTCTTATCAGTTCGGCTTAATCGTTAAATTATGGTAATTAATTTTTTGAGGGACTTAACGAGCGTAACCCGTTCGTGCAACCTCGTTAGGTCACGAGAGGTGATCGTTACCAACGATTGATAAAGCAGGGGAAGTCTGGTGGAGGCAACAAAAAATTACTTTTCATCTCTGGAGAAAATCATTGCAAAAAGTACCAAAACATCTCTTGTCATTCGAAAAGGTGATGTAATGAGCACAAGTTATTGGATTTATTTATTAATTTAATTACAGGAACAATCACGTATACTAGAATGTTCGGTTTATCTTATCATGATTGAAAACGCCGACGAACTGAATCGATATGCGCAATATGTAATCCTATTGTCATTGCATTCTCTTTTCAATGGCTTCTCAAGGGATTTTACAGACACAGTAATCGAATTATTTACTCGCGTGTAATCCTTACATATTTTGTTAACACGCCATCATAATTTCACCGGTAATTCTTCAGATTCTTGATAAATGAAATAAGTTGGAGTACATCGATAGGAAATTTGTCACAATCTGGAGTAATTTATATAAAATTCTCGGAGAAAACCAGAAACAATTAGATATTATTGTAATTTTGTGGTGTTTTAGGACACATGAAAATTGGCGGGAAAAACCCTGGGGATGAGGTCAGCGCCGGCGTAAACAGAAATACAACCCGGACAGGAGGCGTTATTATCAGTTGTGTCCCTGATAGAAAGGATTCCACATGCCTCGCCTAAATAATCTATTCACTTCCACCCTGAAGATCGATCCATAATTATTGCAAAAATGGTACTAAAATCGTTCCATATCAAATTGCATAATGCAACTGGAACATATGCTCCAGGTGAAGTTGTTTCCGGAGATGTTATCATCGTCATCTCAAAGAAGAATCAATTTTGTCTCGGTAAATATTAGCAATACAATTTTTGTATTCATTGTCCTGATTCACTGAGACCCTGAGGAAGATCTTGATCACATGCTCAGACACTCATATATGAAATAAATATTTTGTTGGAGAATTTAAGGTAGGAGTATTGTATAATGAAGCAACGAGGAGATTTTGTTGATAACAATAATTATGAAAACAATAGTTATTAATTTTCTTATTTTTCGACGATTAATATTGAGTGTGTGGCAGTTAAAGTTTTTTTTTACATGTTGCATGTTTTATATGTTTTACAGAATTTTGTATTGTGGGCTATGAATTCTGAAATTAATTAATTAAGTGGTAAATTAAACGATGTGGCAACAGAGCTCTCATTACAGAACGACAACATACACATGGAAACTCATCACACAGACGTGCAAACCGTTGAGCAATGTTGTCAAACCTACCTACCGCGCTAATCGAAGTCATCAGTACTCTAGCTTGACTTATGATGTACCGATAGTCCTTTAGGAAAAAAAACATGGACTGGACAGTTTCGTGGCGGAGAGCAAAGAGGATTGACTGAAGTAGAGGCTCAGTTCTGGGGGTTGGACTGACTCCAGCGGCATCGTAGTACTGCACCCCAAGAGAGGGAGGACGCCACACGCAATGGGGGTGTTATCCCATCAGCCGACTCGGTAACTGCCTCAGTAGCAGTCGCGCTGTCAGAGGCACTGCTTAAAGATTCGAATTTTTCGAAAAAGTATCAGGGGAACATGAGGATCGAGGAGGTATTCACTGAAATTGAAAAATTTGAAATTTCAAAAAAAAGTATCAGGAGAGCATGACAATCGTGGAGGTATTCACTGAAATTGAAAAATACGAAATTTTCAAAAAAGTATCAGGGGAGTATGACAATCGAGCAGGCATTCGCTGAAATTGAAAAATTCGAATTATTCGAAAAAGTATCAGGGAAACATGAGGATCGAGGAGGTATTCACTGAAATTGAAAAATTTGAAGTTTCAAAAAAAAGTATCAGGGGAGCATGACAATCGTGGAGGTATTCACTGAAATTGAAAAATACGAAATTTTTAAAAAAGTATCAGGGGAGTATGACAATCGAGCAGGCATTCGCTGAAATTGAAAAATTCGAATTATTCGAAAAAGTATCAGGGAAACATGACAATCGTGGAAGTATTCGCTGAAATTGTAAAATTCGAATTTTTCGAAAAAGTATCAGGGGAACATGAGGATCGAGGAGGTATTCACTGAAACTGAAAAATTCTCAATTTTCAAAAAAGTATCAGGGGAGTATGACAATCGAGCAGGTATTCGCTGAAATTGAAAAATTCAAATTTTTCGAAAAAGTATCAGGGAAACATGAGGATCAAGGAGGTATTCATTGAAATTGAAAAATTCGAAATTTCAAAAAAAAGTATCAGTGGAACATGACAATCGTGGAGGTATTCACTGAAATTAAAAAATACGAAATTTTTAAAAAAGTATCAGGGGAACATGAGGATCGAGGAGGTATTCACTGAAATTGAAAAATTCGAAATTTCCAAAAAAGTATCGGGGGAGCATGACAATCGTGGAGGTATTCACTGAAACTGAAAAATTCTCAATTTTCAAAAAAGTATCAGGGGAGTATGACAATCGAGCAGGTATTCGCTGAAATTGAAAAATTCGAATTTTTCGAAAAAGTATCAGGGAAACATGAGGATCGAGGAGGTATTCATTGAAATTGAAAAGTTCGAAATTTCCAAAAAAAAAAGTATCAGGGGAGCATGATAATCGTGGAGGTATTCACTGAAATTGAAAAATACGAATTTTTTGAAAAAGTATCAGGGGAGTATGACAATCGAGTAGGACAATCACTGAAATTGATAAACTCGAAATTTTCAAAAAAGTATCAGGAGAATATGAGGATCCAGGCGATATTCACTGAAATTGAAAAATTCAAAATATTGAAAAAGTATCAGGGGAGCATGACAATCGTGGAGGATACTTAAAATTCACCCAGTCAATTGATGCCTCTGACAGCGGGACTGCAACTGAGGCAGTTACCGAGTCGCCTGACGGGCAGACCCCCCACCATTGGGTGCGGCCCCTTCTTTCTCCGGGGGGCGTGGTACTCCCCCAGAACTGAGCCACTGAGTGGGGGTTTGAGCAACCCCACCGGCATTGCAGTACCTCACCCCAAGAGAAAGAGGGGGCCGCACCCAGTGGTGGGGTGTCTACCCGTCAGTCGATTTAGTAACTGCCTCCGTAGCAGTCTCGCTGTCATAGGGACCAGTCGACAGGGTGAATGTTATTTTCTCCGTTACGAAATTGGTATTCACTGCAATTTTAAAATTTTAGTGAATACCAATTTCGTAACGCAGAAAATAACACTCACCCTGTTGACTACTACCTCATTTACCTCATTTACCTCATACCTTTACCCTCTAACAGCGGGACTGCTACTGATGCAGTACCGAGTCGGCTGAGGGGCACCCTCCCTCGATTGGGGTGCAGTACTACGATGCCTCTGGGGTCACTCCAACCCCCAGAACTGAGCCTCTACTTTCGTCAATCCTCTTTGGCGGAGAACATGTAAGAAAATGTGTCGATAACCGCGTAGGAGAGGTAGAGAAAGAGTAGAGGGAGGAGATTGGGAAAATTACATCTTCTATCCGAATTATCCCATGAATTTTCACTATGAAAAATTTCCATGATTACGTATTAAGGCGATAAAAATCATTTTGCATCTCTGAAAAAATTGAAAATGTGTTGGTTGATCTGCTTGGTTGATTGAACTGGTTGGTTCATTGATTGGTTGATCTGATCAAATCGACCACATCGATTAAAATTCTCATTAATCTCTTCTTGGTGGAAGCATCTCCAAAACATCGACATTACATTCTATGAATTACTTCATCAGTCAATTCTTTCGAATCGATTCTCTTTACTTTTGAGATTTTTTATAAAAATTTTCACCATTTCAGGAATAAAGCTACAGTTTAAAGGGAAAGCTGAAGTTCAATGGACCGGATCCGACACGTCAGGCAACCACTGCCTATATTTAGCTACAGAATCTTATTTTTTGGCGGAAGATTACATATACCAAGACCGAAGTAATCTCATGTTTTGCATAAATAAAGGAAAATCGATATTAATCTGATCCAAATATCATCTTCCTAATTGTGGAAAAATTTTCAGACGAAGATTCTGGCTTGACCCCAGGTCAGCACATGTTTCCATTCACTTTCCTCTTGCCAAATAACATACCTGATAGCTTTTATCATAAAAATGGCAGCGTCGACTACAGCATCAATGCGATAATGGAGGAGTGGGACAGCTTTCCTGCAGCTAAAATTAAATTCAATGTGAAATCTCTCGTAGAGCCGCATCAATACCCACCTGTGAGTAAAGCCAAAAAGGACGTGCATCTCTTTTTTTAAAAAAATTGAAGTGATTAACTTCAAGTTGAGATAATGATTTAAAAAATTAAAAAATTATTGAATATGATTGAGTCGTGAAATTCTTATGGAATTTTACAGTTTCCAGAATAATTACATAATTTTCTCATACTCTTTTGGTGACAGATTTCTATACAAATTAATTTTCATTTCATTTCATCTCATTTCATTATATCATTTAATTTCTAATTTTCATTACCAATGGACATTTTCATGTCGACAACATGTTGCGAAATATTTCTGTATCTTCAAAAACTTATCCAATTGTTCTGACACCCAGAGACCGATTATCGACGAATGCAGTCAAACCTATTGGTCTTGCTTGCTCCCCTGCATATCGGCGGGTTCGATGACTGTAAAAATACGAATTTCTGGAAGTACTTATGCTGTTGGAGATTCCATTGACACGCTGATAGACATCCACCACAATGTGAGTATTGTTGGTATTGAGATGCAATTGAAACAGGTAAGTTGATCCAAAATGTCTCCGCATCGACGTTTGAAGGAACAAATTGATGCCTCACTGAAGACTTCTTTACCAGATAATAGATTTCCATTCTACGTCGCCATGTAGAGACACTAAACATAAAGAAGAAACTGTTAAAAGTGGAACGCTGGATGGACCGTATGGTACCGATGAGATCTTCGAGATGAGCTTGCAGGTACCTTGTGTTCCTCTTTCCGGTCTTCGACACTGCAATCTCATTGACATCAGTTATCGATTACGTATATTGATATACGTAAATGGATGGTATGATATTATTGGGACGCAATCATGACGACCGTATGCGTGACAATAATTATGATCATGATTGATAGTCCCAGTCGATTGGCGAGGGAGTATGATATTGTCATTGGATCCAGATCGGAAAGTTCTTCAATCCCATATAATGGAGCTACAGGTCTTCGAATACCGATTCCATCAGCACCTCCTATCCAACACAATACCCCAGAGACACGTAAGTGACAGTTTGGAATGGAATTTTAGAAAATTTATGGAACATTACGTTGTTTGTTCAATCGAATCGTTCAAAAATTAGGATGTAGTTAAATTAAATTATTATTCATTAGAATTCTTTGATGAATTCTGATGGATTTGATGAATGAGTTGATTATTTTCTAGCGCGTGACATTTCTAACGATTTTATTTCTGTTTTCAGCACCTCCATCATATCAATCCGTTATTGCCCAACAGGATAAAGGATAATTATGATACTTGATAATTGTTAAATGTGTGCTTTTGAGAAAGGGTTTTTCAAGTTTTTAACTCAGTTTTTCAATGATTTTTCACTCAATAATGTATTCTCATTTGTGGAATATTAAATAGTTTTATTTATTATATAGTTATTAAATAGTTTTTACCTGTAACGTTTTGAGGTGTGCTATTGTGATAGGTAATCGTCAAATAATTTGATCAGTGAATTTTCCCAATCACCCCGCACACCAAAACTTTTTACAACTGTTGATAATATTTTTGATTGATGACCTGTTGTCACAGGACGCAGGGAATAACTAATCACTCGAGCTGTTTATAATCTAAACAACGTATCACGTGGACCAACTCAATAGACAAAGGGCCTTGTCTTTGGGGCAGACCTGACCCACTTTTTAACGAACTCTCGAGGAAGCAATATCTAAAATTATCAGCCTAGCCCGAATTCCATCGCATCCTTACCTAAAACAAATTGTTTAAATTAAATAAATGATCGAGTCGTATACTAGAATAGTGAAAAAAATAGATTTTCCTCTCTGTACATAAATAAATATTTTGGAACTAGAATTTTTGAAAAAATTGTACCACCCGGAAAAATGTTGCTATGAATTCTTCTCCACATAATACGCAACCGATTTTTCCCGGGTTGATCTCGCTGAATGACTCATTGTCCGCAGTTAGGCTTCACGGTAGAGACCATCCGGTGAGCGATAAAACGAGAGTCTCGCAGTGATATGAGTGGAGTGTGAAGTGCATGCATGTGCTTGACGTTTTGCCTACAGTTGATGTCATCGGATCTGCGATTGTAAAATAACAACTCCACCATGTCGTTGAGAACGCTCGCGATCACCTTGAATAATATCAGCAGAAATTATTCACCAGGAGAAACCATCTCCGGAGAAGTAATCATAGATTCCAATGGAGCAGCTAATTACAGAGGTAAATATAAAAACCAATATTAAATTACATCTTCATTCATTTCACTTGTCCTTCCCCCATTTGCGGTTACAAGAATTTTATTTGTAAACTCCATAATATGATTGTACGGAATTTAAATCATTATCATAGGAAATGAAGAAGGAAAATCTCATTGGATTATTATATAATAGTTCCAATGTCTGAGGATATTTTCATAACTGCGTTGTGATCGCCAATTCGATTGAGGAAAAATAATCTGGCGTGCAGAGTGTCGGGATAGATGTGCGTCTTGATTACACTAACTACTTTATAATTTAATGCAATATCTGTTGATTTAGGATTGCAACTGAAATTCAATGGTGCAGCAGTAGTTCACTGGACGGAGCGTAATCCACGACGTAATCGAGAACAAAATAATGGAGGGAATTATCGAATCGAAGATGAACCGAGTGACGTACATTACCACGCAGAGGAAGAATATTTCCAGGCATCGATGTACGTGCTGGGAGGTCCAGGTAAATATTCTATTGATATGACGTCGAAATGTGGAAGGACTTCAGAAGACACTTTTACTTTTTTCTCCAGCTGGGAATGTCCACGTCGGGGCGGGACGTCTCGTCGTTCCCTTTACGACTCCATTACCGATGAACATACCGAGTAGTTTTGCCGATATTAATCTAGGCAGAATCGAATACAGCATTGAGGCAAGCATGTCTACAGCATGGGGAAGCGAATTCAAAACCAAAATTCTGTTCTATGTGAATGCTCCGCCGAATTTGAGCCAATACCCATGTGTGAGTAAAGAGAAGACGGTTCCATAATATTGATAAGATCTTGTGATTACAGAGTACAATAGTATTCAATTAAACGAGAAGTGAAATATTATCGACAGGAAATATAAGAAAGATAATGGGATTTTCATAGAAATACACAGAAAGAAAAATACTCGATAAATTACGGAACTTTCATGTATTCGTGGGGTGACCTTGGTTTTTGGGGAAAAATACTGTAAGTTCCGTTAAAATTTTCGTATCGAGCAGGATTTTTTACGAAATTTTTAGTTGTACTAGCGTATATGGCGCGCTATGTGCGCCAAATCGTCCACGTATGGGGTGTTATCATTGGAATACATATATAGAATTTCAAAAAGAAGATAGAAAAAAGTCTAAAAATTTATATAAAAAAAATAATTTAAAATTTAATAAATTATATTAAATTCATATATTATATTATTATATAAATAAAAATTAATATAATTTATATATATATATTATTATATATATTATTTATATATGTATATATTATATATATATATCATATTATATAGATATATTTTGATATGCATAGCGCCAAAAAAAGCTGACAAAAAACGTTACATGCTTTTTTTTAAAAAGGAATACCACGAGAGCTTCAAAATTATCGAGTATTTCCCCATAGGTTCGTCGCAAACAATTAAACGAGTCAAGTTTTTCAGGTATAAAAATCGCGAGTGCGAAGCTATATAATATAATTTTGGATTTCGTGAGTAGTCTATAATTGTTGAATAACTAATAACAAATTAAATGTTGATTACCTCGAAAAGTGAACGCGAATTAATATGAAACGTAATTTGGTGATGTAGGTAATCAGAAAAACCGTTGAGCGTCTTCTATCCGAGAATTTTCATAATGCTAACTTAAAGAATAAAAAAATTAATGAATTAATTGTATAAAGACATGAATATATGAATGCATAAGATGTAATCGTGGAATCAGTAATCGTATCAATATAATTGAATGGCGAATAATGTTTATAATATTACCAGGAGCCAATCGTGGACGTAGTGAATAAAAAATATTACTGCTGTTTACTCCCATGTATCACCAATGGTTCGATGGACGCATGTATCCGTTCCCTTGGTAATTGTTATTCAATTGGTGAATGGATCCACGTCTTTTTGGATATTGACTCGCATTCAAAATCTGTCCAGGTTACTTCAGTGGATATGAAACTAGAACAGGTACAAGCAGAAGAATATTTATTTCCGGTAGTCTAACGTATTCTTCTTCTCAGAGAACGACTTTCCAAGCGCATGCACCGGAAAACAAAACCAAGTCCAACACCAAAACTATAGCGACGACTAAATCTGAAGGGCCTTTTCCAGACACTGCGACTTTAGAATTAAAAATAAAAATCCCATCTGTCCCTCACAGTGGTTTTGAGAATTGTGGGATCATCGCTGTAAAATATCTTCTGAAAATCGAGATATGTGTGTCTGGATGGTGAGTAATGATCTTTGGCTTTTAAAATAATTGATGTTGTTCAGTTTGTATTATTTATTGTACGTGTGCAGTCACTTGAACATCAAAAAGGAACATGACATTATCATTGGATCAAGACCACAACTTCTTGAGCATCAGATAGCTCCTACTGCACCTCTTATTGGAATTGTCGATTCATCTTCATCAACATTTGTATCTCCAGAAACCTTGCGACCTCAAAAATCTAGCGGTCAATTTCCTGTGGTCAATGTTCCGTACGGCCCAGCGAATGTTCCATACGGCCCAGCGAATGTTCCATACACCTCGACCCAACGTAAGTAAAAATTCGTAAATATGTGCCAGTTCCAAATATATTTCACAATCTACTTTATTTTTGTTTGTCTTGTAATTTTCAGCACCATGTTATGAGGCTGCTGTGATGCAAGGATACATGCCATCAATGCACCAGTAATAAAAAGTATTTATCTACCTCAGAGTAGAAACGAATGAAAACGAAGACAATCCTATCACTTTCAAGACTCAAGATTAGATTAGAACATTCTAACAATCCGTAAAATATTAAATTTTGTATGGACAAACTTCAGGTATGAATAAATTATCTGATAAGTTTTCGCATTTCGCTTGACAAATTCAATTCTTCGAAACAGATAAAGGGCCCCAGTCGCTTGTTATTCAGAACAATGTTGCTAAAAAAAAAGTTTGTAAGTAATTATCATCAGAGACTTGAGGAAAATAATTCTTTCATGGAGATGAAACTTACTTCCAACCATTGATCGATTCCCTTGAGTTCATAAAAAGTTGGGATGGAGCTATTTGCAATGGAAATGTGCAACGTTTCTAGTTCAGAATGTTTTGATGCAGCCAGCTGCGTCATGTGATCGTGGATTCCATCAATAGCTTCAGCTTGCATTTTCTTCATGTCCTCTAGACACTGAAGAATTCACACATATGTAGAAAAATTTCTCCGACCAAAAACATAAGTTTGAGAGAAATCATGATTTAGATTCATATCGCTAGAGAATTCCGCACTGATAAATTTATCAGCGCAAGTATTTAAAAATTAAAAATTAAGTAAATACCTTCATGACGCATGTGAAAGGACCTGTTGGATCATCTCCATCGAAAAGGTGAATGCATTCGTAAGCTTTTCTCTCTGCAACCCCCAGGGCAACGCTGAGGATAGCAAGTTTTTGGTTGAGATTGTTAAATTCTTTACTCCATTTGTTTACAGCTGTAAATATATAATTGGATAGCGCATTCTGATGTGCACGATTTTCCTCGAAGCGATCATTAAGATACTGTGGACACGTGTTGCTCGAATTCACATTTTTGGCCAATTCAGCAAGTTTTGTTTCATACTAAAATTGCAATGAATTATTTATAGTTTCTCTCGAATTCTTCTGGTCACATTACCTTCTCCAAAAATGCGTCCTCTCTGTACTTCGCACGTAAAGAATCAATACCCCATAAAAATTGCTGAGACATATTCTGGGCTCTATAGCTTACAGAAATCATGAATGTAGACATGTTGTGATTGCTTTCCCTCAGTTCGGAATTTACCATTGTGTAGCTATAAAAATTGATTTCCGATTCAGCAGCTTCTACCTGAAACTGATAAAGTCATTAACTTCCAGAAATTCGTAAAAGCACACGAGGTTTTAATTTTTCTTTCAACGATATTTTAAACTTACTAACAGCTGAAGAGCACAGACAAAAGAAAATAATTTCATTGTAATTGCTAGCTTCCGAATCGTCTCGACGTCTCAATGACCCATAAATGCCATGTGTGATTAGAACATCGGAATTTATAGCTAACATACGTGCGATCTATTCCATTCTTATCATGACATATGCTCGAAAGTTCCAAATGATTGCCCAAAATTCAGTCAAGTGTTTCGTGTTCTATTAATATTTGAAGAAGAATCTCATATAAATTTTATGAATCGAATGGTCATTAATCTTTTTTTATACTTTTAAAATGAATATTCATTGTAATAATTGCAAAAAGTGTTTATCTTTTTTTTATTTGGTAATAACTGGAAGATTATTACAATTATTGTCATTAATTTTCATTCTTCATGATGAACTTCGGGAATTTACGATAAATCATGCGACTCAATGAATTCATATAGTCTGCGTTGCTTTTGGATTTAAAATTATCAAGCTGCGTAAATACGGTGTCAACGGCCTTCTCCGGTGCTCTACCCCGAACCACATCAAAACAGAAATCGACAAATACGTTGAAGAAGTTGAAGAAGTTGACTCAATACATCAATTCCTCACACAAGTCAACAGATAAAGAAGGCACACGAATTCTCGATTCATCCTAAAAATGAGGATTCTCCGTAGAACTCTGGTACTATTACAGGTACTATTGTGGGCAGTACACCTGAAAAAAAGATGTTCTCATGTAGGAAAGAGCTGGGTAAAATGGAACACCCGGGCAAAATGAGACACTTGCGGAAAAACGTCTTCAATTTATTCCCAGTGATTTTTTCTCACCAGAAAATGTTGGAGACATTCTAAAAAGGTCTCAGTATTTTTTACGAATTAATTTTTTCTTTCAACTAGACTATTGTTTTTTCCTTTTTTGATTTTTCAATTGAAATCGCTTGAATCGGTAATTTTTTTCAAAATTCAAAATTCAAAAAAAAATTAAATAAAATATAAAAAATAAAATTAATAAAAATAAAAATTTAAATACTTGAATTTAATAAATAAATTTTTCATTTTAATAAGTAAAATTAATAAAATGTAATAAAATTCTGGAAAAACTAAAACGTTGAATAATGAATTCTTACGATCGATTTTTTTTCCTCGTCTCCAATTGAACCTCCGCATTCATCTCATTTTATCCTGTGTCCCATTTTGCCCGGATCTGCCTTAATTATCCCCGAAACAATTAATCTATATTCATGAAATAATTACATTCAACCACCCATCGATCCCAGACTCCCGATAAAAATCTGGAATAAATCTATCTCTCACAGAAACGTGTACTTTCCTCAGGGCCGTGGCCTTTATGAATTCGAGACTTATCATATCAATGTAAATTCTAGCAACAGCCTCGGATCGCACTGTCATCACTCTGTCTAGAATCTGAAAAAAAGAACATTCTTTAAAAAAAAAGACACTCCAAACGAATCACATAAACTGCTCATGAAAATTTAAATAAATTCATCATCAGTTTTCATTATGGAATAATTTTAGTCTTCAATGAAAATAAAATCTCAGAAATACGTACCTTCCACGCACAATTGAAAGGAGCTTTTATCTGACTTGGTTGGAAATCCAATCCGCAATTATAAGCATCCATTTCGAGGGCTCCTAATGTTCCCCTGGCGACAGCCAATTCTTCATAAATAGTACCGAATATTTTCCTCACAGAATATACAGCCGTGTCTATGTATTCGTTCAACTCGATCTGATGTTGTCGATTGTCCTTGAGAAGATTCTCAATATATTGTGAGCAGTCCTTGGCGAATGTCGAATTCTCCAGAAAATGAGCTGCTTTGGGCCGGTACTTGAATCATAATTTTCATCACAATTTCAGTAACAAATAACAAATAATTATCAATGTACAAGAAATATAAATTCAAATTAAAGTTCATATTACCTTTTTCTGGAAATGCTCATCCATTCGGCTTCCGTACTGCGATCGTAGACTACTGATGTTCCAGTAGAACTCTTTCGATATCATCTGAATTTTATTATCTATAGAAGACATGTAGTCAGAGAAGTTATGAATGTGTGCTCTAACGTCAGACATTTCCGCTGTGTATCCATAAAAAGCTTCCTCCGTCGTCAAACCTGCCGTAATCTGAAATTAATAATAATTAACTTAAACACTATAACTTTTCGTTGTTATATTTCCTTCGACGAATTTTCCCGAATGATTTTGTTTTCTTTGGAAGTCCGAGAGATGGCGCTACCGCATTGAAGTTTTGATTATGAAAATCAAAATGATTTTTCATGTGTGAATAGCGGCCCCTCCCCTTGTTGTAATCAGGAATCCATTTTTATTTCGATTTTTCGTTACATATCGATGAAAGGATATAGAAAAACGTATAACTTACTGATAGCAAAGCAGCACAGACGAGAAAGAATATATTCATTCTGGTAGTTTCGTTCCAGATCATTCCGACGACTCAATCAGTTATCAATACCAGGTGCTCTGAACACCTGAATTTATAGTCGATATAGGGATCAGTTCTATCTTTATCGCTGCACGTGTAGGAGCGTTAATATCATACGAGGGAAGTTAATCATACGGAAGAAATGGAAATTGTAAAACAGTCATTCATCCGCACGACCAGCGCAAGGAAATATTCCTGAAATCCAGTACCAAATCGATTATACACAAAAAATCTTGATGATTTAAGGAATAAGTAAACGAAATAGACTAAATACCTTTTTCTAGAATTTCACCCAAAACTTTTCGTTCTCATCGTATTCATATTCTCCAGCCATATGTTTTGTTCTGTTAATATTTGAGGAAGAATGCTAATCTCTGTCATTTAAAATTAATTGCCTCTTCATGATTATCCTCAAATATATTGACGGAAGATTGATACAGTCATGAAGAAATACAAGACTTGTTTGCTTTTTTAGAGGAAGCGGTGAGATATGAATTATTCGACTAAAAAATTTCTTCCGTGACATTTTTTCTTGTTTCAATCCTCACAAAATATTCGTGAGTTCATTCACTCTTTTGTGTTCAATTATAATGAGATTTATTTCTCCTTAATCCATAACGATACATTTTGAGAAAAAATTCGAGAACATTTGTGTGTTCTTTCTTAACGTTATCAGTGTGAATGTGTAATTGCCTATTTTCGTATCATAAGGATTGATTTATTCGAGCAATAATGGAATAATCAATGGCCTGAATAATTGTCAGTCGGGATGAAAGAGATGAAATGCAAACAGATGAAATTTATACAGGATATGACGTGAGCTCGATCTAAAAAATTAAAAAGTGCTATTTTAATGCCCCAAAATTAATGCAATTAAGGCCCGGGTGGACTATCTATCGAATGTCATCTTTTGTTTAAACTATTTAAACAAACTATTTAATTAAACTATTTAATTAAATTAAGAAAGTAAACTGTACATACAAAATCGAAAATCTCTTAAACTATTCATTCAATTAAGCTACAATTGTATAAAATTTCCACTTTCAACCGCCATTTTTCGCTTTTTAATTGCCTACCATAATTAAAAAAGAATCTATTCCTCACTGTCTCCCCAACGATTCGT